TTACATCACGCCCCCCCCCCCAGCTTGTTGGCTTGATTAGGCAGCCAGTGGATGCCTCAACCTATAAACACCCTTCTGAAGCGATGTCACCCTGACAAAACCAAAAGACTGAGACCTACAGAGGGTAGCTGAGTGTTTGACTAAAGTTTGTCCATAGATGTTAATGATTACAAGCTGTCTGGCACACCTAGAGCACTCTCTGTTCCTCCAATGATAATGCCTCAGTCCACTCACCTCCCTGACTCTGTCAATAACAACTCACGCAGGAGACTCTGCTCCCAAGAATGAGCTCAGTTGCAGAATATACCATATTAAAGGCAAAAACAGGTGGAAGATTACATTAATTAGATCTAACACAGGGGTCACCAAACTCGGTCCTGGAGGGCCAGTGTCCTGCAGAGTTCAGCTCCAACTCTAATCAAACACACCTGAACCAGCTAATCAAGGTCTTACTAGGTATACTTGAAACTTCCCGGCAGGTGTGTTGAGGCAAGTTGGAGCTAAACACTGCAGGACACCGGCCCTCCAGGACCGAGTTTAGAGACCCCTGGTCTAACAGGTAGTACTGTACAACAGAGGTAGAGTAGACTAAAACCGTGGTTCTCAATTCCAGTCCTCACGACCCCCTTTGAATGGAACATATACGCTCCCTTCGAACTAGAATCATGTCGGAATATCCTGTGATGTCCACTTCACAGGGTACTTGCGGTCGAATAGAACAAACATCTGAAGTGATAAGAGATACATACAAAATGTGCAGAGCAGGGGGTCGCGAGCACTGGAATTGGGAACCACTGGACTAAAAGATGCAATATACCTCAGTCAGGTTAGACGCCACATTGAATTTAACCTGGGTGAAATGAGGCCGTGAGGGATAGAAAGACATTTCATCAGCTAAACAATCAGTATAGTGTTTAAAAACAGTACAATCCATTGAATGCACTGTACGTCTATACCTTACAGGCTTGCTTTCATTTCTGTCAAAAATTAGACTAAGGTCTATATCTTAAAAATGCATCTTTGGAGGTATGGATCTAAATGGATACTTGGCCATTTTAATTAGTGATGGGACGATTGATACCGAGGTTCTGATGCTCCGACGCAGTTTTCAAAGCACTATTGTATCACACACTGTGCCGATGCTTGTATCGAAATGACAATACCACGTGATTGATGACGTTTGAAGCTTCGAACATCATGCAGTATCGGAAGGTGGTTTGAAAAAAATCGGCGCTTCGCATGACTGATATATATATATATATATATAATGACCGTTGCTGTATAACTGACCTTTCATTCTGTTAAACATTTTCTGAAACCAACCAATCAAATCACAAAATAACCCCTTCAGATCGAAGACCCCTTTGCTATGTGCTGGGTGACTGATCATCTTGTTAGGTCTTATTTTGTGACCGTGACAAGCTGACCATACATATAAACACAAACCTATCTCTAGATGACAGTGTAACCCATTAAAAGTACTAGTACATACTTTTGTTTACACAGTTACAAATACACACTACATACACCCCCCCCTCCCTCCTCCTACTTGGCATCATGGGATGTTAATGATAGTTTTCAGTAGCCTACAGTCATAGTTGTGTACAACCTGCTACAGTCTCTTGTTAGACAATGTACTGCTGGCAACACTTTGATATTTAGACCTTTACCAACTGAAAGATGATGACAAAGGCAATAGCATATAGCATTATAGGGCAGCAACAACATAACAGAATTTTTTCATCCCATGCAAATGCAAGGCTGCTGCCCCTTTAAGAAAGCAGCTAAGATGGTGTCTCTCCAGCGAGCTGCATTCGGCGCGCTTCCTTCCTGCCTTCGCCGCTTTAAAACAGCAATGCAGATAAGCGTCGACTCTGACAGATGTGCCACACACTACTGACTTTGTCACGAGTTGCACAAGTATTTCAAATGCACCAGCGCTATCGTTAGGGGGCTTTTGGATAAGCACGGGCTAAGAGTCGCATGCACAGGAGTGAGGTAATCACACAGCAGCTCAGATATTATCGGCTCATTTCGGTTAACGGCGAGCAAACCGAAACCGGGTAACTACTCATAGATGAGGAACTCTGCAGAGTCCTGCAGAATGGAAATCGGACAGCGACAGCCGTCAAAAGCTACCGGCTACGTTGCAAACGAGTCGATAGCGAACGATAAACGGACTTACTTTTTTGTTCCGAGTCTCCGTGTGCATCTCGGTATCTAAGCGGCGGTGAAGGGGTGGAGCGGAGGGGGGGTCGATCGGATCGGGCGGGGTGATATTTGAATAACAGTGAGCTCGATGTCAGTTTTTCCACCTCAGTATTAGAGGAGAAAGATGCGCTCGTTGCCTCGGCGGATCACAGAAATCATATCCCCGGCGTCGAGAAATAAACCCTCTTTCCGTCGCCCCGGTCGTCTTTCAGTGTGTGTTTGTTTCCGTGTTTAAGGGTTGGGCTCGAGCTGTGAGTCTCTCCTCCGCCTCTCCCTGCTGCTGACCCCACCCTGCGTCCCCACCCCTTCACTGTGTCAATCACAGCCGGTGTGTGTGTGTGTGTGCAGCACGATGATAGAACCTCAGAATCATCATAGCACCCTGTGTCACCTTAACCTAATGACGTCAAGTTGCACCGGATGTTTGGAGCTGCTCAACTGTTGTGGTCTTTTTGCATGAGTTGATGATGCCCCATATGTGCCTTCATTGTTTGCCTTGACTTTTGGCTTGTAACTGGGTGTGGAAGGTTATTTAGCTATAGTTTGGAGACACAAATGCACCTAAAGTAAGCAAGAGCATACAAAAACTTTATTTAGGGCCCCATTCAAAAAATAATGAGTGTGGGTTTTTTTTATTTAGTCTAAATGCAGACTGTTTAGTGGTAGGTAGGGTTGTGGCTGTAATTATAATTAGCTGTGTAAAAACAATTAAAGTCTATAGCAAGAGTTTTCAAACTGGGGTCAATAGGGCCACTAAAGAATATAGCACAACTTATTCAGTTATATCTTTTATTTGCATAAGCTGTTCACAATTCAGGTTTTTCAAAGACATTCCTATTTTTCATGACATCCCCCGTTTAAAAGATTTTTTCCCTTTTCCGTTGGTTTTAACTACATTTCCCATAATCCGCTTCACTTTCACTAACTTCCTATTGAAACAGGAAGTTAAGGATGCAATGGGAAACATAAGAGGCCTACAAAGTATGGTTTCTGTATGCAAATTTCATGTATTATCATCAGCACTTCTTAACGTGTAAAAAAATAAATAAATAATAGTCTTACTTACAGAATGCGGGTTTGGTGTCGGGTCAAATATGGTCGGCCCTCCCTTCCTTCAGTAAGAGTTTACTTGCATAGCCTGCATTAAACTGTGATAGGTTCACAAATGAGTCTGTATTGAAATGTGCTGAACAGATTGTTAGCGTCGGACTGTAACGATCAGGAACGTCGGTAAAGAGAAACTTCAGCCATTCGTTTCGGATGCTGGGATCCTTTGGGAGGCTGTGCAGAGACACGGGCTCGATCCTACAGCCAGGAACGGCACAGCGTTTGATGGATTTCCCCCACATCTAGATGCAGACGAAAATAACCCTGCGCTCTTCTTTTGATACTTAGAAATAATATTAACCTCCTTATAGTTTCTCCATGACTGGGCGGGCCATAAATGTGGGCGATCATATGTTAATTGCTCGTGGCTGTGACGTGAATACCACGATGGGTTCTTCTGAGTGACCTGTTTCTGCAGCAACTAGGGTTGCTAGGGTGGAAGTTTTAATCATCACGATTAAACGATTAATCATCGTTTTAATGTTCACCTTAGTTTCTGTGTTTGTGAAACTAATGAGTTGTGTTTGGTGAGGCTGGTTTATTTTTCATTGCGTGGTAACTGACAGTCAATTAAAGTTCAAACTCAGAGTAAATTGAACGACCTCCTCAGTTTAAAAAGTAGACTATTTTTTTATCATTCATATTTGTCATGATACCACATGTTCAAAGTCCCCAGTGATAGGGGGCGCCCGTCCGGGGTTACGACCCCCCCTTTTTTCCCCCCAAACTGTGATTTGCATAGCCTTGTGAAGCCTGACTTGTCCTTTGATTTAAACTACATCTCCCATGATCCTTTCAGACCAGAGCAGCAGAAGAATCCATTCCAAAAGCAAAAGGAAACCGAAGGGATAAAGTTGTTCCATGGTGGAATGAAGAATGTTCTAATGCTATTAAAAATAGAAATAAAGCTTTTAGAATCCTAAAAAGAACATTGAATATAGAAGCAGTAGTAAAATATCAGAAAGAAAGAGCTCAGGCTAGGAGGAAAATCAAACAGGCAAAAAAGAAATACTGGCAAGAGTATTGTTCTTCGATAGGTAAAGAAACTCAAGTGGGTGAGGTTTGGGGTATGTTAAAGAAGATGATTGGGATATATAAAACTATATTCCGATATTAACTGGAGAAGGAGTAACAGCTATCACAGAAAAGGAAAAGGCAGAAATATTAGTCATGACTTTTCAAAAGGCACATAGTAAAGAAAATCTTGATGAGAATTATAGAAGGAAAAGACAGGACATTTTAATGCAACATCAATGTA